GCCCTGGTATGTGGCGTTCCCCTGCCTGAGTCCACCTGTTCTCAATGTTCAACTCCCACTTATAAGTGAGAACATGCAGTGTTTGGTTTTCTGTTTCTGTGTTAGTTTACTGAGGATGATGGTTTCCAGCTTCGTCCATGTCCCTGCAAAGGACATGAACTCATTCTTTTTTTATGGCTGCATAGTATTCCATGGTGTATATGTACCACAATTTCTTTATCCAGTCTATCATTGATGGGCATTGGGTTGGTTCCAAGTCTTTGCTATTGTAAATAGTGCTGCAATAAAGCTAAGTCCATTCACTCTTATATGCATTTATTCATCTATTTGAATACTTATTGAGCGTGTATGGCATGCCAAGCACTCTCCTTCCCAAGAGGCAGAGCTCAGGAGTTCAAAAGTGAACAGACAAAAAAGGCCTGCCTTCATAGAGCTTACCTTCCAGTGGGCGATCAATAAACAAAATAAATGAATAAAATATACATAAGTCACAGGCTGGGCGCAGTGGCTCAAATCTGTAATCCCAGCACTTTGGGAGGCTGAGGAGGGCAGATCACAAGGTCAAGAGATCGAGACCATCCAACATGGTGAAACCCTGTCTCTAACAAAAATGCAAAAATTAGCTGGGTGTGGTAGTGTGCACCTGTAGTCCCAGTTACTCAGGAGGCTGAGGCACGAGAATCGCTTGAACTTGGGAGGCAGAGGTTGCAGTGAGCCAAGATCACCCCACTGTACTCTAGCCTGGTGACAGAGCGAGACTCCATCTCCTAATATATATATATTATGGCAATATATCTCATATCCCTGCTCTTTTTCCCTAAAGCACTCACATGGCAATAGTGCTTTGGGGAAAAAGAGCAGGGATATGAGATAGGGTCGATTTCTAATCTCCCTGAAGTATAGAGCATATATTAGTCCATTCTCACAGTGCTCTAAATAAATACCTGAGACTTGGTAGTTTATCAAGGAAAGGGGTTTAACTGCCTCATAGTTCTGCAGGATGTTCAGGAAGCATGGTGCTGGCCTCTGCTCAACTTCTGGGGAGGCCTCAGGAAATTTACAATCATGGTGAAAGGTGAAGGGGGAGCAGGCACCTCACGTATTAAGAACAGGAGCAAGAGAAAGAGAGGGCATCAGATTTTAAATGACGAGACCTCACAAGAACTCCCTCACTGTCATGAGAACAGCACCAAGGAGATGGTGCTAAGCCCTTCATGAGAAATCCACACCATAATCCGGTCACCTCCTACCAGGCTCCACCTCCAGCATTGAGGGTTACAATTCAACATGAGATTTGGGTGGGGACACAGATCCAAACCATCCCAAAATGTCAAGAAAGGCCTCACTGGGAAGACGATATCTGAGCAAAGTTTGAAGGAGGTAAGGAAGCAAGTCCCAAGGGAGTTCTGGCAGGAAGAGGTTCCAGGGAGAGGGCAGGGCAAGGGCAAAGGCCCTGAGGTGGGAGAAGGTCTGGTGTGTATGTGGATCATCCATTTGACAGAGTTGCCAGAGATTTTACAGAGAACTGAGTCAGGAAGGAGAAGAGCAGATGAGCGACAGGGGAAAACGTGGGCCTTGTTGGCTGTTATCAAGGATTTGTTTTCACCCTGAGTCAGAGATGCAGACTTTGAAGGTGTTGGAGCAGAGGAATGGCATAACCTGACTTACATGTTAACTAACAGTGTGACATTTGTGTTGTGAATTTGATGAAGAAGAACAAGCTGGAAACAGACAGTCTAGTTAAGGAGCTGCTGTAACATCCGGGTGAGAAATGAGGTTGTGAGAAGTGTTGTGATTTTGGATATATTGTGAAGGTGGAACACACAGAATTTCGCTGATAAATTGCTTGTGGGTTTCACATACAAAAAAAATAGTTCTCCTTCTAGTCCCCAAAATAAACATTGAACATTTTCTATAAATTGCTGACTCCCTAGGAAAAACAACTCTATCTCTGACATTTGCAATGCTGACGCCTGGATATGTCATGACCTTTTGTGAATATGAAAATCATATGAGAAAAGCACTGGGTTTTGCCATCATGAGCAGACTGATAAAACTTGTTAACAATGGTAATCTTGCAGAATTTCCCTTTCAATACCTGTTGTGCTTTTAGTTTGGCAAGCCTGTCCTCCTAAAGTCTGATTCCTTTGCCAGGTCTTGGCAAGAAATCTCCTTTTCTCTCCTGAATGCTTCTGTCCCTGAGATCCCTTTTCACAGTTGACAATGATCGTTTCCTTCTTCCACCACATTTTCTGTGAATTCTTTTGAAAGAAAGAAAGAAAGAAAGAAAGAAAGAAAGAAAGAAAGAAAGAA